AGTCGGCAGCGCCATCTGCTGGCTGCCTTTTAAATTGCCGGATGAGATCCTCGGGTCCTTCGCCCCAGAAATGACCCACGGAAAGGAAAAAGAAACGTTTTTATAATCTTGAGTACAATAAAAATGAAAGTAAGGGGCTCGCCCGGTGGCACAGCAGTTCAGTTCACATGTTCTGCTTCGGCGACCCAAGGTCCACCAATTCGTATCCTGGGTGCAGACCTATGCACCACTTAGCAAGCCATGCTGTGGCAGCATCCCCCGTATAAAATAGAGGAGGATGGGCATGGATGTTAGCTCAGGGCTAGTCTTCCTCAGCAAGAAGAGGAGGATTGACGGTGGATGTTAGCTCAGGGCTAATCTTCCTCAAGAAAACCCCCAAACAATGGAACTATGAAAGATAAGGCAGAAGAATATTATATGTTACAGGGGTGTATGATATAAGATGTCCCTGCTCATGATATATATGTACATAAAATTTAATCATGCTCTAATCATACTTCAACTTTATTGTACTTGGCATGATATTAGAAAGGTGGATACCTGCCAGCGATGGATACATTTGTCCAAACCCATAGGAGGTACACCTCCAAGGGTGCACCCTGATATAAACTATGGACTCTGGGTGACGATGAGGTGTCAGTGTAGGCTCATGGATGGTAACAAATGTCCCACTCTGGTGGAGGGTGTTGATAATGGGGGAGGCTATGCGCATGCGGGGACATGGGGTATATGGGAAATCTCTGTACCCTCCCTCAATGTTTCTGTGAAATAAAACTGCTCTAAAAAGTAAAGTCTCTTTAAGCGTTTAAAAGCAGACTACAAAACCATGTGTTCAAACCCGTTTGTGTCGCGGGCTGTGGTCGCTGCCCTGGGGGCTGCCCGCCCGGGCTCCGCGGGAGGGGACAGACCGTGTTTGGTGTGGATCCTCCCACGGGGCCTCACACACCCTGGCTCGGGCTGCTGAGAAGGGAGCATGCGCGCCCTGTGCTGCTCCAGCCCGCTTGCCTCCAGGAGGAGAGCTTGTACAGAGAGAGGGCAAAGCGCAGGCAAGCAGAAGCAAGAGAGAGAAAGCGAAAGTGAGGGAGAGAGAGCGGTCTTGAAGCCGGTCTGTTCCTGCCCTTGGCAGATAATAAAGCCCTCCCTTGCCACATCACTCTGGCTTTCTGTCGCTTGGAACCAAGGGGGTCTGTGTGCCCAAAAGGCAAGCTCCCAGCTCGTCCACTTTGCAACAAGCCGGTTACTGGAGACGGCAGCAGCACAGACCTCTGTCGCACCCAGAACCTTCCTCTGGCAGGCACAGCAGGTGGCACATTGGGCAGGCGCCGGCCCAGGCCTGCCTTTTCTCCGGCTCTGTCCTGAGTCCCCAGGGGTGGAGGAGGTTCCTGCCTCAGGGTTGTGCTTCTGCACTCCCTCTGCCTAGAATTCTCCCCTGCCACAGCCCTGGGCTGCTTCCTTACCTCCCCTGTGGCTCCCTTACACACTGCCTCCTCTGAGAAGCCTGCCCTGACCATCTGGCTGAGGGAGACCATTCTGTCCCAGTGTCTGTTTGCCCTGTGAGTGGCTCCCACCTAACATGTCACCTTGATGAGGGAAGGGACTGGGTCTGTCCTGTTCCTTGCTGCATCCCCAGTTTTTCCCAGGGTCTGGCACATAGTAGGAGCATCATCAATTGTTGTTCACTGAGAAAATGAGAACATGTAGAGATAGGCAGATATGGCTGATGAGAGGGCCTATTCTGGGTGCTGACTGGGAGAGTGGGGCTGCGGCAGGGCCTCTTCAGGGGAGGGGCATTTTCTTGTTCTTATGGGGGGGGGGGGCACAGTGACACCAACCAGAGGACATGCTGCCCGTTCAGGCTTTGACTGACCCAGAACTCCCTTCCATGAGGGGGGTGGTCTTACTGATACCAGGGTGTGTAGCCAGGAGCCGAAGCCAGTGTACCACCTCCTGACTGGGGTGTTGAGAGCCAAGGATGTCAATCAAAGCCCAAACCAGGCCCATGACCAAGGGGCTGGGGAGCACGCAGGGCTGAGGACAGGGCTTGGGGACTGGGGTACCAGGGCCAGGGGGCCAAGGAGCAGATGTCAGGGACCATGCGCGGACAGCATCGGAGGATCCTGCCACGTGGTCAGAAACTTATTTCCTTTGCAGTATTTTCCAGTCCTTCTGAGTAAATCAAAGAAGAGTCTCAGCTGGTGGTAACAGGTCTCTAACACTTGTCCCTGGGTCTGTTCACAAAGGCCCGGGGCAGCCTCCAACAGAGGCTTGTCTCAGACAGAGGCCTGAGGTGTGACAACAGTCATGGGGTTCACTGTGGTTATTTCTATAGTTACCTTCTCTAATTGTAGCAATTCTAATTCTCCATTTAGGGTAGTAATAGGGAGTTTCTTTTTCAAATAAATTTACAAAGGTAAAGGAGACCACTAAGAAGGAAATAGCAAGTGGATGCTAGAACAGGTGGTGGCATTGTTGGGCCCCAAAGGGAGGGGGGTGTGACTGAGCAGAGGATTCTGGGAAGATAGCTCCTTGTAGCTGCCGCAGGGGGACAGGAAGTGTCTGGAGCAGCCTGTGAGAGGCCGGCTGGGGCCGTGGGGGAGCCCCCTCCCCACCAGCAGGTGCAGTTGGAGCTGGTTTAGCTGCTCAGAGTTACGACCCTAGGGAAACAGCGAAGAGCGAAGGGCAGGTAGGCGTTGGGGCCTGGAGCCCACCTCGCACCGAGCCTCCTGGCTGGAGGGCTAGCCAGCCTCTGCCCAGGCCTCAATTCAGACCCTGCGACCCGAGGCCTGGCTGAGTGACCACCAACGGCCTCTTAGAATTCCAACCTGGGGTTATTCTTGCCAGATCCTGTCTCTCTGATGTGGACACCCCAGTTCTGGTCCTGGAGCTGTCCCCACCATGTGGCCTTGAGTGAGTTCCCCTCTCCAAGCCTCAGTTTCCCTACCTGTAAGCAGAGACGAGTGAAATGACCTTTAAGGACCCTTAAGGGTGAGACGACCAGGGACATCCCCAACTCTCTCCTCCTGCTCCTCCAACATGGGGCTCGGTGAGGAAAGCACAGTGTGGGGTCACACGGGCCTGTGCTTCATTTCCTGCTCTACCTGATGTCAGCTGTGCAACTCTGGGCAAGTCACTTAACCTCTCAGGGTGTCTGTGTCTCGTCTGTTACATGGGATAAGAACATCTCTGAGCCGGGCTGGACTTGCAGCAATGAGGGAAGTCCTGGACACGCAGTAGGGCTCTGAAAGTGCTAGCGAGCTCTGGTTTTCAGTGCACAGGCAGCCACTGGCAGTGCCCTTTTTCCATCCTGGCTTGGAAGGTTAGCGACCTGCCAGCATCCCAGGCACGGGTCTCACAAGGATGCCTCAGGGCTCCGCGTCCATTGGGGAGATCCTGGGGCTCCACATCCAGTGGGGAGACCACGGGCCTCTGTGTCCACAGCAGAGACCCCAGGGCTCTGCATCCACAGGGGAGACCTCGGGGGTCTGCGTCCCGGCCAGCCGGCAGGAGGGAGCCTTCATCTGCACAGGTGCCCCTCAGGCACTGGGCCGAGTGCCCAGAGCTGGTTCCTGGGTGTGGTGAGGCTGGCACGGTGCTCCACCTCGAGCCCCCGGGCCCAGGCTCGGGCATGTGTGTGGAGAAGATGCGCAGGAAGGAACCCGTACAGCAGACTGTCCAGGCTCTGCAGCGATTTTCCTCAAGGCAGCTTCAAGTCAGTTCAACACAGGGCTTCTCCAACTTGAACACTTGTGAAGTAAGGGAGGGGATCTTGTTAACACTCTCATTCTGATTCAGCAGTCTAGGGCGGGGCCTGAAGTTCTGCATTTTTAACAGGCTCCAGGGGATGCTGATGCTTGTGGTCTCGGGCCCCAGCCTGAGTATCAAGGCCATGTGCTCTTGCCTCTCCTGTGGGCTCAGCTTTTGAGAAGACAGGAGAAGAGGGTCCAGTCCCAGCTGCCACCAACCAGCCTGCCAGAGTCCCCTGGAAACACAGACTAAGCTATACAGGTGGGGTGGGAGGGGGCCCAGGCAAACAGGGCAGTGGGGTCCCGGTGGGGCACAAGGAAAGCTTCTGGGAGGAGGGGGCTTGAGGAATTCAAGGACATGTTCCAGGAACCCAAGAAATGAGTGGGTCTCTGACTTCTGCAGCAAACGAGAGATGCCAGGAGGAGACAGCCATCACGGGTCACGCCAGGCCCTTGGACACCTGTGGTGCTTGGAGACACAGTGTGTGTGGCCAGAAGAAACACCACTGGGCCCGCAGGCCAAGGCCTTCCAAAGAACTGGGAGCACCGAGTGCCACCAAGAAGAGGAGAGCTGGGAGCCCTGGAGCTGCCTGTGTGCAGTTCCTTTTCAGGAAGCAGAATAAGGCCATCCCCTGTGCACTGTGTATGGAGCCGGCCTTCTTCAGGAGTCCTGACAGGGAACTCCCCCATATGATCTGGTAGGTCCTTTCTATCTCATACGGGTTTTAAAAATTTTCTCTCTCTACCCTTCCCCCCATATATAAGTGATTTTGAGATGCACATTTCCCCCCACGTTTGAGCACCTCTGAACTCACTGGCACTGTACCCTGTCTATTGGCCTGGATCGATGCTGAGATCCTTCAGAAAGAATTTGCATTTGCTGGGCCGGTACCTGGAACACCTCCACCAGAGACCGCTGTCACGGGACCTCTCCGCTGGAGGTATTTTGGCCCATGCTGTGTGTGTTCAGACCCCAAACCTTGCAGTTCGCATTCTAGGAGGTTCCTGCCTTCCACCCAGTGCCAAGTCTGACTCCTCAAGTTCCCCTGTCCCTTTCTACGTAGCTGGCTTATTCCACGTTACCTTACACAGGGGTCTGGCTCTTTGGTCTCCCCGCATTTTGCTGGACTCTCCTATTAAACTCCCCATGGTGGGCATTTTTTCTTTCTTAGTGAATGCTTGGTGACTCTAACAGCTAACAGCATTTTATATTTGGGAAATAACGTGTAAAATCAGTGTGATCTTCACCATTACAAATAGAGTCACCGCTCTTTTATTTTTCCATTTAACACTTTAATTTTCTATTTTAAAGATTTTCAAGAAGTCCAATATCTCCCGCTTGGAGTGTCCTTCTGGAATAGATGGAGACACTTGAAGGCTGTCTCCGTGCAAAGGTGTCAGCCCGTCTCTAAGCTCCAGGATGCACCTGATGGGGCCACTACACTCGCAGCCACACGGTGTCGCTGTTGGACACGTTCTGGTGCAGCGTGGCGAATGCCTTCCACTCCTGCTGCTGTGACTTTGCTGAGCCAGATCCCTGCACAACCAAAGTGGTGCCCAAGTTAGAGCCTCTTTAGTTCACCCTCCTAAGCTGGGCCAGATGGTTTAGGTCTTCAGGGACTTCCAGCCTTAAACACATATTGGGCCCTAACCAGCCTGTACCATCAGCTTCAGGCCCCGTGTGGAACCAGGTCATTGGTCCAGTCTCCTCTTCACTTGGGAACCCTCGGTGCCCTTTCCTGACTGCAAACTTCAGTCAACAGCATCCCAGCCCATCAGACAGGTCCCGAGAACATTGTCCCTCAAATGGGGAGGCATGTCTCTTTCTACCCAGGGGCCCCACTGAGTATCTCCCCACCCCCCTTCAGGGCCACATCTGTATAACCCAGGGAGCCCATGCAAGGGACAGCTGCCTTGTACATGAACCCACCCCTAGGCTGTGAGTTTATCATCCTAACCTAATGATAGATCCTAACCATTTCTCTAATCGTTGGCCACTCCCCTCACTGAAGGCACCTTGTGTCATAGGATCTGACAGCACGACTGCATTCCAGCCCAGGACGCTCCCACCCCTCGAAGGGCGGCACACACCCCACCCCAGGGGTGACGCTGGCCTTGGGGAGCCGTGGATGAGCTTCTGTTTTGCTGAGTTGGGTCTACACACGAGGAGGGAGGAGCTAGAGTACTTAGGGCAACGGCTGGGGATATCTGTAAGCAACATGGAGGGGGAGGAGCAGAGAGAAGAGCATCAGGACAGCTGGGGAGAGCTGTCAGCCAGGAACAGGAGCACGCTCTGTCCGCGGTGTGCTGTGAGCCTCCCCTCCAGCCACTTACAAAAACGCCAGCAAGGTGGATGTCTCTCTCCCGTGTTTTTGCAGCTAGGTTTGTGGTTTTGAGATGAAGTGGGACTAGCATCACGGGGACACAGGCCAGAAGCAGAGACTTCCAAGGATGCCCAGGAATGCCTCTGCCCAACACAGATGGGGGACCGGAGGAGGGGCTTGTCCGAGTCGCCCAGCAAGTTACAGCCCAAAGAGGCTCTTCCCATTAAAAACGAGCCCCACACAGCCCGCCGAGCACGGGGCTCCCGCATCTCAGCTCCCCGCCAGCGCGGCTCAGTACAGATACTCTCGGACGGTGAGCTCCTTCAGGGTGAAGCCCAGGGGCGTGGGCTTCCGATGCTGGCTCTCCTCCAGCCTCTCCTGCAGCGACACGAAGTCCTTGCCCAGCGTGTAGGCCAGGCGGATCATGGCGTCCAGCAGCGGGGCGTAGTAGCGGTGGCCCTCGCGGGCCTGCAGGCACTGGAGGGCCCGCTCGCCGGCCGCAAAGGCCTCCGCAGGGCGCTCGAGGTCGCGGTGGCACACCAGCATGGCGCAGAGGGGCGGGACCAGCATGGCGGGGCAGTGCGTCGTCAGCTTCTCCTGCAGCGGCACCACGCGCACCAGGATGTCCAGGGCCTTGGTGTACTGGCCGGCGCGCAGGCAGCCGAAGGCCTCCTTCAGCTCGGGCCGCGTGAGGAAGTCGATGAACTCCCGGGACCGGCGGACGCAGCGGATGGCGTAGAGCAGGCTGAGGTACTCCTTGAAGGCCAGCTTGCGCTCGGAGATCATCTCCTCGCTGAAGTTCCCCATCAGGTGCTTCTTGGGGAAGACGACGTCTTCGATCTCTTCTCGGAAAGTCTTCAGGAGGCTTTTCTGGAGCGCCTCGAAGTCTGAGTAGCGCCGTTCCAGGACGGCTTTGTTGCTGTCAAAACTGCCTGTCTGGATGACGACGATTTGGTACATCTGCGGTGCAAAGAGAGAGAGCCTTTGACTGCATCCTGACGGAGCGTTTCAGCTGACAGAGAGAGCTCCGGCAAACAAAAATAATGCTGATGGTAATTTAAAGCATACCCTGAAAATGGGTTAGGGTTGTGTGCAATTCTGTGTTCAATCGCCGTCAGCATCAGCTGAGCTATAAAGCGAATCATGACAAGAGTCAGCCTGAGAATAACGACACAGAGACGTGGGGGCATCTGAGGAGACAGGGTGCAGGAGCACGTGCAGGGGCCTGGGGCGCTCTCGGCTTTCCATCGTCAAAACTGGGCCTTGGTTCCTCAACTGGGGTTAGACCTGAGCTTGGACTAGGTCTGTGCTTTCCACGTATGGGACACTTGGGAGAGGGTTTGAGGAGATATACTGGCGGTGATCTTACCTGGTAAGAAAATTATTCCTTTTCAATTCTCTTTCAAGAGAATAGTGATTAAGGGCACAGACTGCCTGGGTTAGAGTTCCAGCCCCACCACGGCCCAGCTGTGTGGTCTTAGGTAGGTAATTGAATCTCTCCAAGCCTCAGTTTTCTCAGCCATAAAACAAAGACAGTAATAGTACCTACCTCGCTGGGGGAGGATTAAACGAGTTAATGCACTGAAACCAGGTGGGACTGAGCCCTGGGTGCGGTCAGCACTCGGCAACAGCTATTGCTGCTATCCTGGTCCAACCTAAGGGCGGGAGGCTGGGTGTGGCTCTCCCATAGTGTCAACGTCTCCCCACCACAGGCCAAAGCGGGCAGCCCCAAGCACGGAGCTTCTCACCAGCCACAGCAGCCGGCTGGACTTTAATCATAGCACTTAGCTCTCCCTGTATTTCCTTTCATGATCACCTTTTCTTTATGCCACGTGGTACTGGTTTTCCATTTTAGGTATTTCCCCTTGAAATAAATATATGTAGTATTTTAAAAAAGTGATACAATTTAAAGAAAAAATTGGGTAATTAATAATATAAATGATACAGGGATATGGCAAAGACGGTGAAGAAGAGACTCAGGTGACTAATACTGGACAACGTGGGGTCGATCTGGGCTAGCTCCTTCTTAGGATCAGGGATGTGACTCACATGTCTCTTACAGTACCTAGGTGCTCACAGCACCTAGCACAGTCCCAAGTGTGCAATCTTGCTTTTTGACCATTTCCTTCAGAAGAACTCTGAGTTACACTGCATCAGCCCATGTCACAGCTGGGAAAGCTGAGGCCCAGGGCTGGGAAGGAGGCTGTGGAAGGCACTCCATCCTTTCTTGATCTCTGCTTACCACGAACTTGGAGACCTTCCTCTCCTCGATGCGGGCGGAGCTGATCTCAAAGAGCAGTTTCACGCGCTTCCAGCAGCGCTTCTCCGTCCGCCAGTAGTCCTGCAGCTCCCGCGTGGTCATGCTGGAGTTGGAGCTGGGGCTGCTGTGGGCCTCTGGAGGGACAGCATCGGGTCAGTGCGCTTTGGGGACAAGGGCTTGGGGAGATGGCTGGGTCTGTCTGAGAATCTGGAAGAGCGGTGGATATCTGCCTCCCCGATCCTACCCTTTATGGGCTCGATTGGGCATCAGCCAGACCCTGTGCCCAACCTGGCTGAACCCACCCCACCACGGACAATTCCAAATAGCCTGTGCTCCCCATGTGGCTTCGCAGTTGTGAAATGCAGTGTGTTTGTGTTGCGTCGTCCACTTCCGGCCATTGTGGACAGATTGGCCATTGTGAAACTCCACGCTCCCGACATGCAGGGACTATGGTTGTGCACTTCTGCGCTCCCCACAGCACTGACTCAGCGCCTGCTGCCGGCCACTGCACATCGCTGGGTGGTGGAGGGAGCTGTGAGGGTGGTGGGCTCCCCACTCTGCCTGGCTGGCCTCTCCTACCTCTCATCCCACTTGCCACATTCTAGGCTTTTTCTCGCACAGGCCCCTCCTTCTGCCTGAAGTGTAATCCTCCCCTTCCCCAGCCTGGGAGACAAACGCAGTGTTGCTTAAAGCGCACTTGAGCGTTGAGACTGTGAGAATTTTAGGAAAGATCAGAATCTGTCTCCACCAGAAATGTGCAAATCCTTGTGCACTTTGTCTCGAGGCCCACAGGCCCCAGGAGCCCTTCTCCCATGTGTCCTTCAAGACGCAGCGCACGTGTCACCTCAGCTGCCCCCTGGCCTTAGAGTAAGAGCCCCCTCATCCCTAGAGCCTTTTCCATGGCATCTCAGGTTACTTCTCACGGATGCGTCTCCCTAGCAAACTCGAGGGCAGCGCAGTGTTTCATCTGCCCATTTCCCCAGGGCCTTGCACAGGGCCAGCGCAGAGCAGGCGTTCAACAGGCACATGCTGCACGATTGCACAAATGAGTAAATGACTGAGCAGAGACTCGCTCCAGGGGCGGCGCCATAGCGGACGCTGTCAGTGCTGGGCCTGCCCCTTGGCACTCACAGTTCTGAACACCCCACTGGCTTCCTATCGGACTGTCGGCTGTCACCCTGTGGGCTTTCTCGGGCCACAGCAGCGTGTTCTGGAGCATCCCTCAGTGGATGAGGGATGGCACTGGTGGATTACAGCCTGGCCTCCTCGCCTCTCAGATGGGACAACTCTGCGGCTGTTCCAAACAGTCTCCCAGAGGACCCTGTTGGGACCGAGTCCCAGTTGCCCTCAGCGGTAATGTGTTTATGCACACCCTGTACTGGCTTCCTGCCCTTCCCTTCCTCACTCTTCACTGCCCTGCGATAGCTCCTACGATCATCTCCCAGATAAACCACTTGCACCAAGTCCTTGTCTCAGTGTCCACGTTGGGACAACTCAAGTTGAGAGAGCTGCACTGCTCTCTTGTGTCATTCATTGAAGTATCCACATCTGTATTTCAAATGTCTTCAAACCTCTATCCCTTGACCAAACCCCAAGCCTCGAACCCACCTAAGTGCCCTTCAGGGCCTGGACGTGGGAGGTCTGCGCCAGTGGCTGATGCTTCCTGCTTGGTCCCTGCCATGCACTGGGCTCTGGGGCCCATCCATCCAGGGCTCCCAGGGTGCTTGGGACTTGCCATGCTCCAAGGCTGCCGGAGGGACAAGAGAGAACAGTGAGTTCCCACTCAAGTTGGGGTTCCTGGTGGGTCCTGAGGTGCCCAGCATCTGTGTCATGGTCTCCACTGCCAACCCCTCCGCTGCCCACTAGCTGTCCACCCAACCACCAGATGCTCAGCCCCGGTCTGGCCTGTTGCTGGCCTGAGCCCTCCAAGGCTGAGCCGACTGTCACCTTATTGTTCGTTTTTCTCCAAACTTTAAATGAGGTGATTTCAAGCACAGCTAATGGCTTCTGTGGTTACTTAGGAGAAAGATGCTGGCTTGTCCAGAAAAAGTCCCAATACTCCATTTTCTATTACACGTGTAAACCAAATCTCAGCGTTCAAAGCAGGGATGCTCTCTCTACTGACCGCTTGTTACACCCACTTCATGCTCACGTAGGTTCTTCACAACCACCGTCTTACTTAACACCCGCAGAAACCTACCATGACTTCCAGTAACAGACGAGGAAACTGAGGGTTAGCCCAAGGTCACGTGGCCGGTGCATGTGCCCAATAAGCAAAGCCAAGTGCTCCTGACGTGCCAGGCTGTGCGCACCGTACTCAACACGCACTCTCTCACTTAATCTGACTCTGTGTGTGGTTAGAATTTTTAATCTTCATTATGGTAAAGGAACCGAGAATTAGAGTTGCTCACGATCGAGAGCCAGCAAGTGGTGGGCAGGACACAGACGCAGGCTGGTCTGACCTCAAAATCCTCTCCACCCCCTCGGGGGAGGCAGGCAGCCGGGGTCCTGGGTTGAGTTTGTGCAGTAACTGTCTGTGACCCAGATAAGTGAATGAGATGACCTGGTGCCTGGCAAGTTACTTAACTTCCCTGTGCCTCAGTTTCCTAAAAAGGGGCATAATAGAACCACCTTCACAAGGCTGGTGCAAGGGCTAGGTTAGGCCGACCACAGGGGGCATCAGCTCGGGGCCCACACACCAGGCACTGCCTAATAGTCCCTCTGATGTGTGTCTGACGCGTGGCAGAGGCTGTGAGAAATATGTGAGAAATAAATGACTCTAGAGTAAGGTGTAAGTTGGAATAGAATTTAAAATGTCTGAGACAAATTAGAAAAAGGAACAATTAAAACATTAGCTCAGATGGGGCGAGTCGCTGGGGCATCACTTAGGCACAGAAATTCAAAATAAGACGGGTGCAGTGAGCTCGTCTCCCTGACGGCATCTGAGAGCTGCGAGGGCCCAGGGGGTGCCTGGAGCGTCAGCCCGGGTCTGTCCGGTTCCAGCGCCCAGGGGGAACCCGATGCTGACTGTGGCCTAGAGGGAGGTGGGGCCCCTGCTGCTCCAACAGCCTTTGCCACGTCCCTGGGTGTGGTCAGAACCTGTCCCCACTCCAGGGTGAGTGCCTCCTGGAGTTGGCCAGGCCTGGGGAGAGGAGAGGTCAGCTGGGGCCAGGAGCCCACGCTCCAGGGGCAGCTCTTGCTGTGTCAGGTGAAAGGATCCCTGGGCATTCTCCAGGTGGCTCTGTGCAGTTGTCCAGTGGGCAACTCTTGGGTACTCTCCGTCCACCCTCACCTTCTACGGATGGGAAGCTGGGCATAGGGCGGGGCGGGGCTGGCTCAGGGCTGCACACGCTTGGGCCTGCCATAGCTTCGTACCTCGTCTCTTTCCCATCTTCCCTCCCTCCCCTCTTGCCCAACTGTGGGTGCATGGCCCAGGTACTTAACATTTCTCCATCTGAGAAGTGTGGCCATAGCCCTGTCCTGCCAACAAGACGATGGATGGCTAGGGACAGGGTCCCTACATTCTGGTAGGTGTCCAGAAAGGTAGTTTGTGGTCCACATACTCTCTTACCTAATAGACTCTTGGTGGCTGAGATTCTTGGGGACCCAGTGTTTCCTGTGGGCTCTCCTATGCACCTGCCTCAGTTAGCACATCTGTAAAATGGGTGATGGTGAGTGGCATTGGCCTCAATGATCCCAGCCCTTCCAGCTCTGCTGTCCTGATCAGGCAGCTGGTGTCAGGTCAGCAGCAGGGTACTGTCTGCCTAGGGACCCTGTGAGACAAGGGCCTTGGCTGGACATTCCAGTAAAGATCTGGGAAAGCTGAGCATGAACCCAGGGCTGAGAATTAAAATCAAATTCAGCAGCCACAGGCAGCTCCCTTATGTTTTGTCATATGGGATCGACCGGGAGTTGCCCCCTACAGAGGAGTGAGGAGGAGAAAGTCATGCACTGGTGCATCCACGGAGTCTCGGGCAGCTTCCTGTTCCTCTCTGGGCCTCACTTTCCTCATCTGTGAAGTGGAGAAAGCGATCCTGTCACTCCCAAAGCTCTTTGGGGACAGCTACTCAGGGAGTTCTGTGGGCCCTTCCCGCCCCTCTCCACACCCTGGGTAGCAAAGATTTCTCGACTTTACAAAAAATACAGCAAGTGTTGGTGCTGTTGGCTTAGGAGCCTGTCCTTGGTCCAGGGCACAGAGCAGCTTCCCAGCCCCCTTGGCCATCCATCTCCTGTGTGCGGTCATTCCGCTCCTTCCGTCCCAGGTGCCCCGAGCATCGCTCCTCCCTCTAGGGGTTGCCTGCCGTGGCCGTGGCCAGTCCTCTTTTTTTTTTTTTGAATCTTGAGTTCATATTTATTATGAGTGTGGACATTGGGGCCACTTAGAACAATATCCGATGCCAGGGGAGCTGAGAGGACATTTGTGTGTATGTGTGGGTATATTTAAAAATGCACATCAAAGGTAAGTCATGCATACAAGACTGTAAATCATATACAATTTCAGTTTAAACAACATTGATAAAACAAACACCAATGTGACACTATCAGCCAGCTTAAAACGTAGCCCATCAAAGTACCTTAGAGCCCCCGCAGGCCCTCCCTGCCTACCCTCCCCCACCTCCAGAGGAAGCCGCTGTTCTGAGTTTGGGGTTAATCATTCCCTTGTATGCATGCGTGCGTGTGTGTGCGCGTGCGTGTGTGCGTGTGTGCATGTGTGCGTGTGTGTGTTTTAAATAGTTTACCCAGGGCGTATGTATCCCTCTAAACAAATTACTCAGGTTTGCCTTCTTTGAGCTTTATTACATATTGGACCATACTTTTGCACTCGTCTGTGCCTTATTTTTGCTAAACACTATGGCATATTATTCTTTTTCTGCTGTGCTGTATGATATTGCATGAATATGCCACCATATATTTGTCCCTTGTCCTGTCGGTGGACATTTGTGTTGTTTATTTTTTGTTGCTCCCACCGCCCCCAAATACTGCACTGCGGATGAGGCACAGCCTCATGGGCAAGACGTCACCCATCCCAGGAGTGGAAAGTTTTGTCATAGGTGACATCCAGTCCTTCTTCTGCTGGGCACACTGGGCCACCTTCAGAGCCCATGCTACCTTCGTGAGGGGGCGGCAGAGAACTTTCCATCAGGGGTGGGGGTCCAGTGGAGCAGAGTGAAGCTCCCTGGCCTGACCTGGGAGACACACGATCCTGGACATTAGATGGGCATGCTCCCAGATGTGACTGTGCAGCAGAGCCTTCTTGGGGGGTGGGGGGTGCTGGGTGCTTGTAAAAAGCGTATTTCCTGGCCCCCAACATCAGAGAGTCCCGTTTGCAGGTCTGGGAGTGGGCCCTGGAGTCTGCATTTTGCACATGTCCCCCCAGGGATCTGCTTATGCAGGGGGTCCTGGCACCACTTTTTGAGAAATGAAGGTGTGGTGCATTATTCCCCAGGCTCTGGAGGGGAGTTCTGGCACTTCAAAAGGAGCTGGGGCAATGGAGGATCCAGGGGCCATCCCTGCTCTGCCCCGGTGCGCTAAGGAGAGCCCTGCACATACAGGCTACCACCAACCCTTCTCCGTCCCACCCTACCCCCAACAGGTACTGAGGGAGGCTCCCAGGAGGAGGGGGCGCAGAGGCCCACTGAGCCTGGGCTCAGACACTGACCTGAAGCCTCTGCCTGCGTGTGTCCAGGGGTCCTGGAGGGGCCTCACATGGCCTCCTTCAGCTCTCGGTTCTGAGCTGGGGGCCAGCAGTCGGTGGCTGCCGCTTCGCTCAGTTCCCGGTTTGAAAACAGGAAATAGGCTGTGTGACCTGCTGCTCGTCGCCCCAGCCCATTGGCTGCTGAAAAAGGATATATTGAACCCACTGACAGCCTGAGGCGGCCTCAGGGCGTGCAGGACGGCAGGCGGGCTCCAGCTGTGAGGGTCCAGCTGGGCCTCTGGTTTCCACGGTCCTGCCACAGCCCGGCTGCTCCCCGGAGTCCTTGACAGTCTCTGGCATTGGGACAGGAGCTCCCAAAGCTCTTTAACATTCATTATGCTACCCTACACACCTGGCATCATGGGCCATCGCGCCCCAGTGACAGATGGGGAAACTGAGGCTTGGAGTACAGAGTTGGTGGGCGCGGGCCAGTGCCTGAGGTGGAGGGGAGGTAGGCAGACTCACGGTTCCAATTGGTGCCCTACTCTGGGCAAGGGTAACCCCAAGTCTCCCTACAGAAAGGGCCAGGGCAGCCAGTCCTCTGGGCAGCGGTGTGACTCACGCCAGCGGTACGGTGGCCTTGAGGGCAGGAGGTTGCGACAAGAAATTAGGACCTTGCCAGCCCCCTGGAATCTACCATGTGTCTCCTCCCTCCCTCCCCTGCAGAGGTGGTCACAGCCCTGATTCTGACGGGGGTCACTTCCTTGCCTTTTTGGTAAACGTCAGCTAGGAACAGACCCCAAAACAACAGAGTCTCATTTTCGAATGTTATGTAAATTGAGCCCTACATACTGTTTGTACGCTTTGGGATCTGCTTCTTTCATTTCATATTTATGTGAATAAGATTCATCAGTGTGTTTTTGAGTAGGTGGAGCGTTTTCATTTTTATTGCTGTGTTGCTACATTATTTGAATACATCATTATCCTTTTTTTGGTCTGTTCATGCGTATTTGGGTTGTTTCTAGTTTGGGTCATCATGATCAGTGCTGCTGGGAATTTCTTACACAATTATCCAAGTGCATGTTTGTCTGAGGTGAAATTACCGGGTCTCAGAGCGTGAACAGCTTCAACTGCGCCAGAGTGTACTAGATTGTGCCAAGCCCTTTCCTGAGCGGCTGCGCCATTTTGCACTCCCACCAGAGGATGTGAGGGCTCCCTCAGCCACACTTGACAGGGTCAGTATTTTCTGTTTTAGCCATTCTAATGGGTATGCAGTGTTTATCTCATTATGGTTTAAGCTGCATTTCCCTAATGACTAGCGATGGTGAGCATCTTTCACTGGCTTATTTGCCATCCTATACCTTCGTTGGGGAAGTGTCTCTTCAAGTCCGTGGCTCATGTTGGGATTGGATCATTTTCTTTATGGTTTGCAGGTGTTCTTTATGCATTCTTCTGGGTGCAGGGACTCAATGTGCTTTCCCATGCTGTGGGGCATCTGTACTCTCTTAGCAGGGTATTTTAAAAAAATTTTTTATTGAAATAATGGTAAGTCACAGTCTTGTGAAATTTCAGTTGTATATTATTGTTTGTCAGTCGTGTTGTAGGTACACCCCTTCACCCTTTGTGCCCACCCCCCCACCCCACCTTTCCCCTGGTAGCCATTAATCTGTTCTCTTTGTCTACATTTTTAAATTCCTCATATGAGTGGAGTCATACAGAGATTGTCCTTCTCTATCTGGCTTATTTCACTTAACATAATTCCCTCAAGGTCCATCCATGTTGTTGCAAATGGGACGATTTTGTTCTTTTTTACGGCTGAGTAGTATTCCATTGTATATATATATACACCATATCTTCTTTATCCACTCATCTGTTGATGGGCACTTAGGTTGCTTCCACATCTTGACTATTGTAAATGATGCTACAATGAACCTAGGGGTGCATGGGACTTTTGGAATTGCTGACTTCAAGTTCTTTGGGTAGATACCCAGTAGTGGGATAGCTGGATCGTATGGTAGTTCTATTTTTAATCTTTTGAGGAATCTCCATACTGTTTTCCATAGTGGCTGCACCAGTTTGCATTCCCACCAGCAGTGTATGAGGGTTCCTTTTTCTCCACAACCTCTCCAACATTTGTTACTATTAGTTTTAGATATTTTTGTCCTTCTAATGGGTGTAAGGTGATATCTTAGTGTAGTTTTGATTTGCATTTCCCTCATGATCAGCGATGATGAACATCTTTTCATGTGCCTGTTGGCCATCCGTATATCTCCTTTGGAGAAATGTCTGTTCACGTCTTCTTCTTAGCAGGGTACTTTGATGAATACAAGTTGGCAACTTTAAAGTATTCAATCATATCAACCTTTTCTTTCACAGCCGGTGTCACACTTTGAGGTCCGGAGTTTTCTTCTTTATTGTTTTTCTTTATCGTTGCTTCTGCAACAACTTCACAGGCCATTGTGAGGCTTAAGATGAGTTAGGATGTGCAGAGCACTTAGAACGAGGCTGGTATGCAGTCAGCACTGGACCAGCGCTGGCAGTTCTTGTTATCCTAAAGCCTTCCTAGTCTGCCTGTCTCCTTTGGGCTCTATCATGCACTCAGAGTGGACTTTCGTGTATGGTGTGAGGTGGGAGGGCTGGTGTTTTTTTTCCCGTTTACCTATTGTCCCCGTTTGTTGAAATGGTCATCCAGTCCCACTCTCTGTGGCGCCATCCTTGCTATAAAAAGAGGACCCACTTGCGTCAGGGTCTGTTTAGCTCCAGGGGAGAGCCGTGCACATGTGCCTCTGCTCTGCTAGCTGGTGAGCCCTGAGGGCAGGGCCTGCTCTCACTGTCTCTGCCTCGCACTGCCCCCCACACGGCGGAGGCGAGGCTCCTACATAGAGTGAGGCTGGAACTCCCTCCCCCCGCCTCCCTGGGTCCGTCCCACAGCTCTCCAGTTTTTTCCCCCACTCTCTACCTGAGCCTAGAGTCTGCGAGAGGCCAGGGTAGACTCTGAGCCCTTCTCTGCAGCCCTGTACGCCTCTCGCCAGCAGCCAGCAACTGCGGGGAAGGGTGTGGAAGCCGCTGCTTCCTCTTCTGGAAGCGGGAGACACTCTTTGGAAAGCCCCAGACACGCAGGGGTGTCTGGCCTGCATCGGAAGGACCCAGCTGGACCAGAGCGGCTGGGAGGACAGGCAAGGGCCCGCTGTCCTGGTGGGAGACACAGGGTGGGCGTCTCCCACTCAGTACTGAAGCCAGGTGGTGAGAAGGGGAGGCAGGAAGGGAAACGCTGCGTCTCAGCGCCTAGGTGTCTCTTGTCGTAATCTAACTCTTCTAGATTCAGACTTCTTGGATCCTCAGTGGCTTCCCACCACATTCAGAGTAAGTCCAGACTCTCTACTGGGGCCTCTGTGGTCCGCTGCTCGCTCCCTTCCTGACCTCATTCTGCACCACTCCCAGCATCGCTCACCACACCAGCCATCTCGGCTTGCTTTCTGTTCCTCAAACACCCCTCCTGGCCTTTGTCCTTCAGTCCCTCTGGCAGCAGCACTTGGTCCACGACCGGTGCGCTCATCCTCACCTCGCAGTGTGGCTGCCTCTTCTTTGAGCAGCCTTCCCTGACCCCTACGCCAACATTGATCATTGTTAAGTTTACTTTTTTATTGCTGGTCTCAAATGCCGTGATGGCGGCGAGTCTGTGTCAGCATTCTGTCCCCAGGGCTTGGGCAGCGACTGCCCCATGCTGGGTGCTCAGAGATGTCGTGTGAACGAATGAATGAGTGTGTGAATGTAGAGGCGTGGTGACCACGGCTGAGGCTCCAGCTCAGCCCTGGCTCACTGTGTGACCTAGGCAGCCCACCGCCCTCTCTGAAGCTCAGTTTCCCTAATTGCAACGTGAGATTAAGTTAAGGATCCTCCTAGCACCCCTGGGCCAATCCTGAATCCTGTAAACCACCGCTCACCACCGCTCCGGTGTCTGACAAGCTGGGACTCCAGCACCGACATGCCTCCTTCGAGAAATTCAACAAGACTCGATCGCTCGCGGCTGTGCCTCCATGGGTCTGGCAAAGAAAACCCAAGCCGGCGAGGTGTGTGTTTGTAGGCAACACAAAATCCAGTCACATCGATCTTGTTTTTCCACAGTTGGGTGTACACACATAAACCACTTAAAAATCTCAAAGGTTTTCTGCTATATCATTGAGCAATTCTGCTTCTGGGTATTTATCTGAAGAAAACAAAAACACTAACTCAGAAAGATATATGCACCCTCATGGTCATTGCAGCGTTGTTTACGAGAACCGAGATGTGGAAACAACCTAGGTGCCCGTTGATGGATGAATGGATAAAGAAGAGGTGGTTTATGTATACAATGGAATGTCATTCAGCCACAAAAAAAGAGTGAAATCTTGCCATTTGTGACAACGTGAATGGACCTTGAGGGCATTACGCGAAGTAAAGCAAGTCAGATGGAGAAAGATAAACACGTATGATCTCACTTTTATGTGGAATCTAAAAAAAAGCAACCTTGTAGATACAGAGAATAGATTGGAGGTTGCCAGAGGTGGGAGGTGGAGGCCGGGAAAATGAGTGAAGGGGTCAAAAGGTACAAACGTCCAGTTACAAAATAAATAAGCCATAGCGATGCAGTGGACAGAGTAGCAACTATAGCGAAAAATACCATTAACAATACCGTACTGCAGATTTGAAAGTTGCTTAGAGAGTACATCTTAAAAGTTCTCATCAGAAGAAAAAAGAATTCTGTGATTACGTATGGTGATGAATGTTAACTAGACTTATTGTTGCGATCATTTCACAATAATATACAAATACGGAATCATTATGGTGTCCATCTGAAACTAACATTGTTGTTAAAAAAATTCCCTTTCAGAAAAGAAATCTCAAATTTTCTTAATAATGTAGGATTTTAAAATTGGGGCCACAGACAGAGCAATGCGGGGCACTGCTCTGGTTCTACTGGGACGTAACGGGCGGGACCGGGCTGTGGGCCTCGATTCTACAGTGCAGGTTGGGAGGACGCCTCAGCCCCTCCTGGGCCTCGCTCAACTGCAGGAATGTCAGTGCCTCTGATCTGCGTAAGCACTCGGGCTGAGACGCAGAGAATCTGACTTTATCGGCAGAGTGCGCACATTGTGTGTTCCTGGGA